ATATTAACATATTATACAGAATGGGGTCCCACATATATGCAATAAATTAAACCACAAGTAATACTAGTCCATAGAAGTGTAGAAAAATTAAATATTAAATTAAAACCCGTAAAATAAAAAAGTGAAATTTTCAAACAAAATAAATATTAAAATAAATTCAGTAAAAGTAAACACTCTGTTTAGACAACGTACCTTGACCCCTTGGAAGAGTGGCAACGTTGCACGCGGGTGGCATGGCGGTTGGCGGCAGGCAGCGTTATTGTTTGTCGGCACGGCCTATGGTTCGTTGGACAATGTGCGACGAAATAAAAACTTACCCACTAAACTGTTTAGGTATTTTACCGCCACTTTTTTATTTCGCGAAAATGGAACTGAACGAAATAAATATTATTGCATATTAGTAGCAAAATTTAATGAAACCCTATATTTTAAAATTTTCAAAATCGTTCTTGAATGCACAAGTTACATCGCCGCATAATGTTGTCCTGAAGCTTGCTCAAAAAATTTCGTTCAGGATCCAGAGCCAGGGCTTTTAATTTGTTAAAGGCGGCAACAATACGATTGCGCAGTTCATCTTCGGTTTCGAAAATCTTTGAGTACACTTCATTTTTAATAAAGCCACATAAAAAAAAGTCTAGAGGAGTGAGGTCAAAAATAGTAAAGTAGTTTCAATATCACAGTAAAAAATTAACGTACTTAAAACACTATTTACACACAAAGTCAATCAACTAATGTCTATTTCACCGTAAAATAATTGTTTGACTAATTGTATTTATCTTACGATAATACGATAATTATCTTACGATAAATAATTACGATGCGCGTAGGCAGCGAAACGCACCTATATCCTGGAACAATTGCGCGTGAACTGGAAGCTAAACTTCCAAATTCCAAAATGGCGAAAATAATAAAAGTAATAAATAGGGCGGCCACAAGGTGCAATAATCGTTTATCGATACTTTTCTTTTTACGCTTACTTACTTACTACATTTGAATACAAGTAATTTTGATTTTTGATTTCATAACAATCGACAAGTTATTGATATTTAAAAAAAAAGTTTATTTTTGTACAATTGAACTTACGAAACTACCGATTTGTGACTTCCTGGGAAACGGTTAAGTATGTATGACTTTTTAATTGGTTGTTTTTATGGGTTTTTTATCATGTTAAAATAATTTATTATCTCTAAATCTACAAGAACACACTTAAACAAAAAAAGCTTTAAAGCTTAGCTTTAATACTTAGGTCGTAGTATTTTTAGGATTATCATAACAACACGATAATTCTAAAAAAACCATACCCAAAGTGTTAAAAGCTAAACATTTTTTTTGTTTATCGTTTATTACTTACTCCCTTTGAAAGAAGCTAATCGTCGATAACAGGTGTCCTACTCTATGACAAAGGCGCGCGCGCCGTTGCGCCGTCGCCTTTGAAGTACGCCGCGTGCCTCGTGCCGCTTGTTTATGCACGCCGACAAAAGACACCGCTGTCGATACGTCGCAATACCAATAGTTTGCACTGCGTGGCAACGTCGCTTTTTAATATTCAAGGATTCAAGTTCATTGAATCATTGACTTAGTGACCCAATTCTATAGAGGGTTCAAATATGCTTAAAATTAAAACTCTACTTTTTGACCTAATTACTGGGCCGATTATGTTCATTTTTTGTACATCGTCAGCAAAGGCGATAACAAGTATGTGGTTTCATTTATTGCATATATGTGGGACCCCATTCTGTATATCATTGGGAACATAAAATAAGTTAATATATGTGATAAAATTCATTTATTAAAACTACCTACTTTTATTTAAGTATATCTTAAGGTCCGCCTTTGTACTTTTTGTGCAACAAAGTTTAAATAAACAAATTAATGTTCATTAATTTGCATTTTCACTATTTAGTCTGTTCAACAATCTATGTAATAAACAACACAAGTTCAGTCCGCAACAGAATCTAATGCCTCGCCCGCATTGCCGTTGCAGATCAAACTTAGGATCTGTAGTTTTGCAGTTGAAAAAGCTGGGTATCGACGACCTGGTGCATTTTGACTTCATGGACCCGCCGGCGCCCGAGACCTTGATGAGGGCACTTGAGTTATTGAACTACCTGGCAGCCTTGGGTGAGTGAAAGAACTAGTTAATTATTATTAGATTTTTTTAATCATGCCGTGTAGTGGCATTGCAAAAATATCACTACCATATTGTTACGAGCTTGGGGTTCGAGACAATTAAAAACTGCAGATTGAATTACCAAAATTGACACTTTAATTACAGAACACTAATTACAACTTAGCTAAACTACAACTTAAAACCACACTAATGATAAAACACAATTGTACTACTATCACTTTAGTTTGCAGTTGTATCGCTTCGAAGTATTCGCTTGTATCGCCAATTCAATACTGACTTGGTCGTGGTCTATACTGGCTTTATAATAGGGCCTCAGATAGTTTCCAGAACCTTCTACTGCAGAAACATCTAGTATGTTCGAGTACATGTTTAGTTTAGTTTAGTTTACGACGAGTGTTTTCCGCAACTCCACGTCTATGCGCGTATTTTGCGTGTGGGCAGGAATAATATGCTGATCTCTCCGAAGAAGCTCAACAGTCCTTTGATGTTGCATGCAACTTCGGGGAGTGATCCCGGCGTGCCGAGATGTTTAGCCCTGTATGTAGCCACCTCCGGACATTTCAATAGCACATGGGCCGCCGTTTCTTCTTCCCCCATACATGCCCTGCACAGGGGACTATCTGTAACACCTATAGTAAATAAATGCTTGTTAAAGTTGCCGTGTCCTGTGATAGCACTTGTTACTATCCTGATCTGCGGCTTGTTCGGTCTCATTAGAACTTTGGTTAAACAACTGTTTATTTCAGGCAGGGCTTCCTTAGCTTGTCTACAGTCTACTAGATTTCTCCAAAGCTGAGTGTGTAGATTAGTGAAGTGTCACGTACCAGTGAACGAACACTACCAAAGGGGATTAGTATGATTGGTTCCGGCTCTATAGTGGCCAGAGCCGATCCTCTTCTGGCCAGTTCGTCTGCTGCATTGTTGCCTCTGGATCTACTGTGTCCCTTTATCCATTGCAGAGTCACATTGTTGTTTTTACATACCTCATTTAATCGTTGATGGCATTCATATATTAGTCCCGACTTTACCACATTGCAACTTAGAGCTTGTAGTACCGCCCTACTGTCGGTTAGTATTCTGATGGGGAAGTCATTAACCTTTCTAGCATCTATTGCTATGGCCGCTTGAATGATACCCATACATTCCGCCTGAAAGACTGTGTTATAGGTACCCAGCGGTGTGCATATGTGGATATTGAGGTCTTCAGAGAAAGTTTCAGAACCTACACCTTCATTTGTTTTAGAACCATTGGTGTAAACTCTAAGCTCGAAATTTCTAGAAGGATCCAAAGAGAATATAACCACTACGTTTAAGAGGCGGGACTTCCATAGTAAAAGTAAATGCATGAAAGTACGCCAAGCTACTCTTCTTCTTCTTCTTTTAAATTATGGCTTCTCTTGATAGAATTCTGCCAGTGTGAAGTCAGTCATGGGAGTGACAAGTAAATATTTATAACATTAAAGAGTTCTCAATTTTACTAGAGGGTTCACAATCTACAACAACAAGTACAAGTACCATCACCAAAATTGATTAGTAATTTTATAGTTTAATATTATTAGTACGAATAAAATCACATAAAATATTTACAAAAGGAGTATACACTAGGGACAACAAATACTGGAAATTTACAGGACGCGGGACGTAATGGGGCAGGATATTATAGAGAGAATGAGAAAGATTAGGACACTCAAAGAACAGATGATTTACGGATCCTTCGTCTAGCCCACATTCACAGATTAAGCTATCCCTAATCCTTAGTTTTGCCAAGTGTACCGAAGTACAAGCATGTCCAAAGCGAAGGCGACAAACAGTAGATGTGATTGTTTTATTAAAGTGGCGATATTGAAAGAACCAGGGTTTTGATGGGATATTAGTTTGAACTTTGGAATAGTATTTACATTTTTAAAGTTTAGACTGATGCCAGATACTTTGCCATGTAGACAGAAGGCTGGATCCAGCCTTTGGTAGGAGGTCATATGCATAGAGGCATTGTTTAGGGAGGGAGCCAGATTTGGTGGCTTCTTTAGCTAAATGATCCGCAATTTCATTACCCTGAATCCCGCAGTGGCTAGGGATCTAAGCCAAGACAATTTTCAGCCCTTTTTTATGGCAGTTGTACAGAGACTTTCTAATATTTAAAATTAGGGGGTATCTTATCTTAGAGTGAAAAGGACTGGATGCTATGCTTTGAAGGCAACTGAGCGAGTCTGAGAAAATGAGAGTCCTTTCCAGATTGTGAGATTCTGCATATAAGACTGCTTCTAAGATAGCTAAAGACTCACCAGTGAATACAGATGACTCAGGTGGGGAGTTAAAATTTAAAATAATCTTGTAGTTGGGGATCCACACTGTGGATCCAACTAATCCCTCGTCACTTAGCTTTGAAGCATCAGTGTACATAATTAACCAATCATGCCAATTTTGGAGGAGGAGCATATTTAATTTGTTATTTACTTCAATAGTATTCTTATCTAATCCGAAATTTAGAATGATGTCTGGGTTGAAAATTAGAGCTTCGTATGGGATATTGAAAAGTGGATTGCTACGGGATTGATAAACAGGAGAGTGAACATTGACTAATTTAATGTAACTTTTTATAATACATAGCAAATCTTTGTGGGACCAATATGAAGATTCCCTGACCGACTGATACAAGAAACGAAGTTTGGAGAGGAGAGGATGGTGTAAATAACACACAGCTTTGAACAAAAACCTATCTGAGAGATATTGCCTACGTAGAAATAAGGGGGGCTCAACACATTCAACTTGTAGAGCAGAAATGGGAGTAGATTCATACCACCTGTTATTATACGTAGACATTTTGACTGAATTTTGTCCAAGGTATTAAGAGCCATTTTGCTACATGGCTCTAGTAAAAAGCAGCCATAGTCAAAATGACTTCTAATAAGGGCATTGTATAAAAGCTTTTGGGAGTAGGGGTACCCCACCAGGCACCTGACAGGGATCGGATTACATTGAGGTTTTTTTCACATTTGGAAGCAATATATGATAGATAAGGAATTCCTGTCATTTTGTTATCCAGAATAACTCCTAGAAATTTCACCTGATTTTCAGTGGGGATTAGGGTATTATCAATATATATGGACACTTCTGGTGTTTGCCTTCGCCTAGAGAAAACCATAGTACTGCATTTCAAAGGAGATATTGATAAGCCATGCTCAAACAGCCAGTTATTAAGAAAGTTGGCAGGTTGGGATAAACGGGAGGTAGCTTTAGCAATAGAGGCATTAGTTACAAATAAGGCTAGATTTGATTATCAATTCTAGATTAGTAAGATTAGAAGATCATGTTTAATGTCCATGTCACACCTATGCCGGTAGTTGTTGGGAACACTAAGCTCGAAGTTGTTGACGAGTATGTTTACCTGGGACAAATAGTCCGACTAGGTAAGTCCAACTTCGACCGAGAAGTCAATCGACGGATTCAACTCGGTTGGGCAGCGTTCGGGAGATTACGGCACATCTTCTCGTCAGGTATACCTCAAAACTTGAAAACGAGACTGTACACCCAGTGCGTGTTGCCAGTGATGACATATGGAACTGAGACGTGGTTCTTCACTGCTGGCCGGATGAGGAAGCTCAAGGTCGCTCAGCGAGCTATGGAGAGGGCTATGCTCGGAGTTTCTCTGCGTGATAAACTCAGAAATGAGGATATCCGCAGTAGAACCAGAGTGACCGACATAGCCCAACGGATTAGTAAGCTGAAGTGGCAATGGGCCGGCCATATAGCTCGAAGAACCGACAACCGATGGGGAAGAAAGGTTCTCGAGTGGCAGCCTCGTACCGGCAGGCGAAGTGTAGGGTGTCCCCCCACTAGATGGAGTGACGACCTGGTAAGATATGCAGGAAGTCGATGGATGCAGGTGGCTCAGGACCGTGCTTTGTGGCATTCTTTGGGGGAGGCCTATGTTCAGCAGTGGACTTGTGAAGGGCTGTAATGATGATGATGATGAAGGCTAGATTATCTGCATATTGCAGGACATTACCTAAGTAATTCACAGATCTGTCTAGATCATGAGTGTAGAGACTGTATAACAAAGGGTTCAAGACAGAGCCTTGTGGTAGTCCCTTCCAGTTAAATCTAGCTGGGAGAAATCTTCCTTCAGAACGGACTAATATGTGTCTATGTGAAAGTAAGTTTGATACGAAGTTTGTTATTCTCTCAGGAATGTTCAGCTGATGCATTTTATGCCTGAGCAGTGGGAGAACAACATTATCATATGCCACATAAACATCAATAAAAACGCCTATCAGAAAATTGTTATTGGAGAAGCAAGTCTTATATCGGATACTAAGATGCTAAGGCTATCCATTGTGCTAAAACCTTTTCTAAAACCAAATTGGTTCTTTGGTATAATGCCTCTATTTTCAAGAATCCACTCAAGTCGATTTTTTTGCAAGATGCTCCATGATTTTAGGCAAGGTTGATGAAATAGCAATAGAACGATAACTTAATGCTGAAGAAGGGTCTTTACCAGATTTTAGGATGGGTATAATAATATGAGTTTTCCAATCATCAGGAATGGAACCAGTTGTAAAAGCAAAGTTAATGAATGATGTTTAAAAAGAACTGTTTACACTTAGTACCCATATTAACTAGAAATGAGTAGGGGATACCATCAATGCCAGGAGTGAAATCCTTTAGGTGCCTAAGTACTAACTGCAGTTCAGCTATTGAGAATGGTTCATTAAGGTTATTAAAAGAGTTAGATGAATGAAGAGGAAATGATTTAGAGTTAGGAAATATCTCTTCTTCCAATGGAACCCAGGGGGAGCCAGTCTGTTACTGAAGTCGTCTAGCCAGTGGGAAGGGTCTGCACAAGGGGGATTACTATAATTTAAAGCACCACGGAAGCGCCTGATACTTTTCCAAACAAGAGAAGAAGGTGATCGGGGAGATAGGCTCTCACAGAATGAAAGCCATCCTTTTCTTTTCTTTTCGGAAAGAAGTTTTTTGGTCTGAGCAGCTATTTTTTGATAATCTAGAAAATTTTCCATGGTCATATTACAGGAATATAGCCTTTCTGCAGCCTATCGTTTTCTAATAATTGAGGAGCAATCTGCATCCCACCAGGGAGGTGAAGAAATTTTTTTTGTGGAGGAATTCTTCAAAGGGAAAATTTTGCAGGCTATATTATTCAGAAGGATTATAAATTGGGAGTAGACACTCTGAAGGTTATCTAAAGAGACTGGGGGAAGGTTATTGATATGAAGTTCTGATTCTGAGGAAAATACATTCCAATCAGCTTCAGACAGGTTGAATTTGAAAAGAGGAGATATACTTCTAGTAGGGACACATCTATTACTTAGGTTTAAGAGGATGGGAAAGTGATCACTACCAAAAGAGGACGGAAGAGTTTTCCATGATATGCTAGCAGCCAAGATTGGAAAGCACAATGACAAGTCTACTGCTGATCTAGTATTTTTTTTTTTTTATAGGAGAGGGGGCAAACGAGCATGCGGCTCACCTGATGGTAAGTGACTACCGCCGCCCATGAACAACTGCAACACCAGGGGAATCGCAAATGCGTTGCCGGCCTTTTAAAAAGAAGTACGCTCTTTTCTTGAAGGTCCCTAAGTCGTATCGGTCCGGAAAAATCGCTGATGGTAATCGATTCCACAAGGAGGTCGTGCGAGGAAGAAAACATCTTCTAAATCGCACAGTGGTGGACCGCCAATCATCCAGATGGTGTGGATGGTATCGGGAGTTCTGCCGCGATGTGCGTTCGTGAAATTTGGCGGCTGGGATTAATCCGAACAATTCCTCAGAGCACTCCCCATGGTAGATGCGAAAGAAAATGCAAAGGGATGCAACATCTCTTCGCAGTACCAATGAATCGAGCCGATCGGAAAGGGCTCGGTCGTCGACAATTCGAGCCGCTCTGCGTTGGATGCGGTCAAGTGGAAGGAGCTGGCACTGGGGAGCCCCTGCCCAGAGATGGGAACAGTATTCCATGTGAGGCCGAACTTGCGCCTTGTAAAGTAGCAGGCGGTGTGCCGGCATGAAATACTGTCCCGCTCTGCTGAGCACGCCAAGCTTTTTAGAGGCCAATTTGGCCTTCCCTTCCAAGTGACCACGAAACTGCACGTCACTCGATATGTCGACTCCGAGGATACCGATACTGGCTGAGGCAAGAAGGGGAGTGCCTTGAAACTGAGGAGATACGACAAAGGGGTTCTTTTTAGCGGTAAACGCGCAAACTTGTGTCTTCTGAGGATTAAATTGGACTATATTTAGTCGCCCCCAATCCGAGACTTTGCTCAGCAAAGACTCGACTTCAGACACAAGTTTGTTCCGGTACTCAGCGACGTTTTCCCGAGAAATATTGGCTCGGCCGGTGTATAGAGCATCACCAGTGCTGTCATCCGCATAGCAATGTATGTTACCAGTTAGCAACATATCATTGATATGCAGAAGAAACAGCGTTGGTGATAGCACACAGCCTTGTGGAACACCAGCGTTAATAGGCTTGTAGTCAGAGCATGCACCGTCTACAACGACCTTGATGCTCCGATCTGCAAGGAAGCTGGTGATCCAATTGCACAATTTCTCGGGAAGCCCATAGGAAGGGAGCTTCGAAAGAAGCGCTTTGTGCCAAACCCGATCGAAGGCCTTCGCAATGTCCAGACTAACGGCCAACGCCTCCCCCTTGGACTCTACTGCCTCCGCCCATCTATGGGTCAGGTAGACCAGAAGATCACCAACTGATCGACCCCGACGAAAACCGTATTGGCGGTCACTAATCAGCTGGTGATCCTCAAGGTACCGGATGAGCTGGCAGTTAATAATAGATTCCATTATTTTGGAGAACAAGGAGGTGATCGCGATAGGCCTATAGTTGGATGGGTCTGAGCGGTCGCCTTTTTTAGGGATCGGGTGGACAAAAGCTGTCTTCCATGAATTCGGGACTATGCCTTGGGAGTAGGAGTACCGGAAAAGACGCGTTAGGACCGGTGCCAACTCCGGAGCACACGTCCTCAGCACAATTGGGGGGATTCCGTCAGGCCCACTCGACTTCTGGATGTCCAGGGAGAGCAGTGCTTTGCGAACCGAGCGCTGTGAGAACAGCACATCCGGCATGGAGCACTCACACCGCGGGATGGTCGGCGGTGTTTTCCCCCCGTCATCAAGAGTCGAGTTGGACGCAAAAAGGGAGCCTAAAAGGTCGGCTTTGTCTTTTGCGTCATGGGCCAGTGAGTCATCCTCCCTGTGCAGAGATGGTAGTGATGGCTTACAGAAATTCCCTTGGACAGCCTTGGCGAGAGACCAGAATGCACGGGTTCCCGAAGGAAGGCGAACTAGAACGCCAATTCTGCCTATGTGCTCTGACTTTGCCTTGGCAATAATTCTTTTGAAGGACCTGGAGGCGAAGTTATACTTCTTTTTAAGTGTGCTGGTATTTACATCCCGAGTCGCCGAAGCCGCAGCCCAGGTTTGATAATACTCCTGCTTACTGCGTAATGCAGTCTTACAGGAGCGACCAAACCAAGGCTGAGATCTGCCTCCGATGGGTACCACAGATGATGGAATAAATAGTTCCATTCCCTGTAGCACCACATCAGTGACAGAGTCAGCAACAGCGCTGGGATCATCCGGCGAGAAGCAAACCCGCCCCCATGGGTAGGATGCAAAGAAGGACCGCATTCCGTCCCAATCCGCCGACCTGTAATGCCAAACACGGCGGCAACCTGCAGAACGCAACCGCGAAGGGAGCGTGAGTGGCACCACACTCCGGATCAGACAATGGTCCGAAGAGCCGAGAGGGGACATCGACGGAAACCTGATATCCGTCCGGATGAGAGGTCAGCAGAAGGTCCAACAGGGAAGGTGTATGATCCTCCACATCTGGAATCCGCGTAGGCGAAGTAACCAGTTGTGTCAGACCATATGCCAAGGCAAAGTCATAAACAGGTCTCCCCGCATGATCGGTTAGACGTGAACCGAGCCATTGGTCATGGTGGGCGTTAAAATCGCCAAGGATCACGATCTCTGCGGATGGGACCTGTTGTAGCAAGAAATCTGTAGCCATTTGGACGTGGTCGATGAGTCGGTCTGTTTCGGCATTACCGCTATGGGACCTATAGAGGCACCCGTAGACGCGGAAGGAGAAAAGTCGCGGGCGCACAAAAGGCGACTGATCGACTGACGACACAGATAATTAGGTCAAGTTCAAATGAGCAAGCGCCGCCTCCTACACCCCTCCACCCCTACCCCGCCACGCGCTTTATTTTGCTATTTAGGACTATTGCCGTTTAGAAGGTCCAATTAAGATATTTTTATTTTTGTATGAAAATAAAAATTGAAGAAATATAATTTCTTTTCTTACAGATGTTGTTGTTATGATGTAAATAATATATTCCCAAAAGGTCTTCAGTAAATTAAAAATTACCCTGTATATTGTCTATACTTACCATCAAGTGGACGGTGTGCTTGTCACCCTTATTCTATAAAAAAATAATACTTTGGAATTGCAACTTACAGATATGGAAGACCCACACTGGTGCTACGATAATTTCATCAACTACAGATCGCTGAAGTCTGGTGATAATGTCCGGCAACAACTTAGCAGAATCATGGACAGGTGATGACAATCTATCGGTGAACAATCAAAACTATCACCTTTATTGCTTGCTGAAGAAAGTATGGCTACCATTGAAAAAGTGGATGACTACGACTTTTGCCACCAGAGCAGCGCCACTTGGGAATGAGGTGAAATATTATAACTGAGCGCTAGCCTCACGAAAGTGACCATTCTCTAGAAAGAGACAAAGCGACTGTTCTGCCAATAGCTGTCTTTTTCCTGCAAGCCTAATTGGAAGAATTTGACGTGGACCAATCAGAATTCTAGAAAGAGACTACTACTGGCCGCACATTCGCTTTGCCTCTCTCGCACTTTTCGGTCTGTATTCACTGCACAACTGAATACGGAACGCACAGTCCATTCTCTCTGTCTATGGTGGGAAGTTAATTTGTTACAAAAGTGTATGAGATTAATGTTTATTTCAGAAATTTAAGTACATTTTATATTAACTATATTAGAAATGGATAAACCAATCTACATCCCTTGTTTCTTCCTCCATAACTAAATCGATTTTATTCTTCTCTCTATATAAAGGCCGATATACACTTCGACAAGTACTATAGCGAATTAACTTGCGAAATTAGCGAGTTAAGTAAAAAATCTCGTTTCTACGACAATCGGTGAGTTCCGTTCCGCAAATTAACAATTAAGTTAAACGGGGTAGCTGGCTGGTCTAATTTTTAACCGACTTCAAAAAGGCGCGATATCTTCACAGGTTGTGAACCGATTTTAATGATTCCTTTTTTTATTAAATAGGATTTACCTCAAAGGTGGCCCCATTAAATTTTGAAGAAAAAATTCCACACCTAACAAGTAGCAAATAAATAATTTATTTTTTAGCAATTTGAAGTCTGTTTTTAATTTTGTTAAAAATTATAACTAATGGCGTGTCCAGTTCGAAGTGTTGCCCTCCCGTGCGTCTCACGCCACCCGTAACTAAACTCAGCGGTCATGTGAACGAGCGTGTTTAGTAGTTTAGTTTAGTGCATAAGTTGACAGGATGCAACGTGTTCGTGTTCGACCCTCAAAATATAAATTTGTACTTTTTTAGGGTTCTGTACCCGAAGGGTAACCAACGGGACCCTATTACAATGCCTCTGCTGTCCGTCCGTCTGTCAGCGAGCCGTATCTCATGATCCGTAATAGGTAGACATTTGAAATTTTCACAGAATGTGTATCTCTGGAGTCGTTATAAAAATAAATTAAAAATCCCTAGTAATTTAATAGCCCTACTAAAAACGTTTTTTTTTGCTCGATTTTAATAATGGCAACAAGTAGATGCTTGAAATGGTCACAAAGTTTGTATTAAAAATTATAATAAAATAAATTTATATTTAAAAATGAAAGGGGGAACCGTACAGGTTTTTTTTGCTTGATTTTTAACTGCATAATAGTGGACTATAAAAGTATCTAGGTATCTACATAGTATTAAATCTTGTACGATGGTACGGAACCCTTCATGCGCTAGTCCGATTCGCACGTGGCCGGTTTTTTGACTTAACTTGCCACGAACACATTTAAACCACTTAACCATTTACTCTCAACTGCGCTGTAACTAAACTCTCTACTGTACTTGTCGAAGTGTGAATTGGCCTTAACTTTATCAGTAATGAGGGCCTGTACCCAGGGGTCGGATGTTTAAAAGCCGCTATTTTTTGAACCTGTTACCAAATTTTTCAGATTTAACCTGAAGAGGACAAGCACAGAGTTCACAAGTAAAGACTACTATATCAATATACGGAAGGCACTCGTCAATGGGTTCTTTATGCAGGTAAGGATAATGTGGTCTTTGAATTTGCATAAGACCTAAACGACTATTTTTTTCTACGTGTCTGCCTATCCGGACTAATCTTCGGAATGGCTGAGCAAAGCCAGGAGGGATTATCTAGGCTATATTTTATCTTTTTTTTTTAAATTTATTTAACAAATTACAGATAATACAAAGAATATATTATGGTACAACAAACTTTACCGTGTACTTTACCGTGTGAAAACTTTACCGTGTACCACAAGCCGCCGACTTAAAATTTGACAGATAAGCTACACCTTAATGTACAAAATATGTATAACGCAACACTATAAAACAGCAACTGGCGCAGTCAACAGGCGGTAAATCGGCAATACATAATTAACTAATAGTGTATTAAAAGACAAGTCTTGCCACCGCCCACTTCGCCGCGTCAAAAACCGGTAATAATGGATAATAATGGAGATAATATTTAATAGTAGGCGAGTATAATAATTATTCTTTGTTTATATGTCATATAGGTTTATTTAGGGAATATAGTTAGTGGGGATTATAGTTTTTTTTTTTAGTTTAAAGTCTGATATAGACAGTTCGTATAATAGTTTTTTAATTTGTATTTCATATTTTTATGATTAATTTCATTTTGAAAAGAGGTTGGTAACTGATTAATCAAATTTGGAACCATGTATTCTAAAGTACGTTTTCCGTATAAATTGTTATGTTATAATTAGGTTTAGCTAATTTTGGTTTGGCCGAACTGCGGGTTTTAGAATAATTAGAGATGACATATTTTTTTAAATCTTCGTTAAAAAATTCTTCGAGTATATTCTACTTTTTTATGCACCGGTATAATTTTGCAGTAATCGAAAAGGTTATGGTAATCAGAATCGCTGTGTGAGTTTTTAACCTTGTCTGGAACTATAGTTTTTAAGATGCATAATTGCAATGAATAAATGTTATCTAAATGTGATTTGTAAGTTCGCCCATAACTAGACAAGCCATATGAAATTTTAGATTCGGCCAGTGATTTATATAATTGTAACAGAATTCTATAGGGGACTTTATACTTTATTATGGAGAATTTTGCTAACATGCTTCGGAGTCCATTACATACAACCTCAATATGATGTTTCAAGTTTAGGCGACTATCTATTACAAGTCCTAAGTAAGTTTGAGTTTCTACCGGTTCTAATTCTGCACAATGACAATTGGATGTCATTTGTTCTTTGTGAAGGCATAGGTGATCATACACAATAATGCTAGGTATGACTTTACTCCTATTATGACTAGAACTAATATACATTAGCTTGGTCTTGCTAGCATTAATAACTAATCCTTTATCATGAGACCATTGTGTTAATATATTAAGTTCTTCTTGCATAATGCGGCCAGTTTCGTTAATATTTTCGCCGGCTGCAACCAGGCACGTATCGTCGGCATACTGGTATATTTCGCAACGCCTGATGATGTTTGCCAGACTATTAACATAAGTGATGTAATGCAATGGTCCAATTACAGAGCCTTGTGCTGTGCCTACTGAAGAGTTAACATAATGTTACGAGCTTGGGGTTCGAGATAATTAAAAACTGCCGATTGAATTACCAAAATTGACACTTTAATTACACAACACTAATTACAATTTAAAATCACACTAATAATAAAACACAGTTCGCCTTTATTTCGCTTCGAAGTATTCTCTTGTATCGCCAATTCAATACTGCCCCGGTCGTGGTCTATACCGGCCTTATATAGGGCCTCAGATAGTTTCCAGAACCTTCTACTGTAGCGACATCTAGAATGTTCGAGTACATATCGGTCCCGAAATTTCTGTAAGGATCTCGACTCTCCTAGTTCTGTTACTCGACACTAGAGGGCGCTAGTGTAACTAGTGTTGCCATGTACAAGACATTAATAGTGGCGCGCAATACTTTCATTTACTCGACACTAGAGGGCGCTAGTGTAACTAGTGTTGCCATGTACAAGACATTAAATAGTGGCGCGCTACTCTGCCCCCTCCTAAGACATGCTCGTCCCGAGCATTATTGGCCCCATAATAATGCGCCAGTCGATCCACATGGACAATCTTAGGAGTACCTCTGGCACCTTTCTGTATCCGGTAGGTTACATCATTGATCCTTGTCACAATCCGGTACGGTCCGTCCCATTTAGCTTGAAGTTTAGGAGATTTCCCTCTGCTGCGAACTGGATTGTGTAACCACACTAGTGAACCTTCATCAAACCCCTTGTTGTTCATTTTGCGGTCATACCGTGTTTTCATCTTCTCAGACGTTTGCTGGCCCGTCTGTCTGACGTGCTCATAAATGTCATTCATTTTGTTCCGCAAGTCATTTGCATAATCGGTTATACTGCGTGGGGCATCAGGTGGTATTCCGGTGATCAGGTCTGCAGGCAGCAATTCTCTCCCAAAGTTGTACTTTCGTGAACAGCGCTTCGATATGACAACAAAAACGGTTGTATGTGCCTGTCCCAGTCTCGTTGCCGTTTTTCCATAACTTTTGCTAGGTACCTCTCCAATGTCTGATTAAATCTTTCTACCATTCCATAACTCGGCAAGTTTCCTGGAATATTTGAGACTCAAAATTCCTTCCTTGATCGCTGTGAATCTCTAAAGGTACTCCAAAACGACAGAAGACTTCATGAACTAGTTTATCTGCAACTGTTGAAGCTTCTTGATTTGGAATGGCGAAGACTTCTGGCCACTTAGTGAAGTAATCCATCACTACCATGAAATACTTGTTACCACTTTCAGTTTCTGGAAACGGCCCCGCAACGTCAATGGCTATCCTCTCCCATGGTGCACCAACATTGTACAATTTCAATGCGCCTCTACTACGAATTTGAGGTCCCTTTACAGCCGCACAACTGTACATTTGCGGCACCAGTCCTCGACATCGTCACGACAGTGGACCCAGTAAAACCGTTCTCGGATCTTCCGGAGAGTTCGTTTAACTCCCAGGTGGCCTCCTGAACAACCACTATGGTACAGCTGTAGAACATCCGGCATTTTAGCCTTAGGGACAACCATTTGCAAATGACACCTGTCTCCCCGACCATTTTCCCATTTGCGGCACAGGACTCCATCCTGAATCAGCAAGCTGTCCCATTTGGCCCAATAGCTTTTCGTGGTCGAACTCATTGCTGAGACGTCGCTCCACTTGGGCTTAGGAGCACTGGCCTTCATCCATTCCAGAATCGGCTTAATGTCCGAATCTTCCTGCTGTGCATGTTGTAGGCTGTCCTTCCATTCATTGCTGAGCTGGTCTGTCCTGAATATCCTCGCAGATACCACTTCTTTACCCTCTTGCCTAGTACAATGCTTGCAATCTTCAGGGCAAGGTCTTCTTGATAATGCATCTGCATTGCCATGAGATTTCCCGTTGCGATGTTCGATCACAAAGTCGTATTCCTGTAGTAGTTCAATCCATCTCGCAACTTGTCCTTCCGGATTTTTGAAGTGCAATAGCCATTTCAGTGCAGCATGGTCAGTTCGTAAGTAGAATTTCCGCCCCAGGAGATATTTGCTAAAATGCTGCAAGGACTTTACCACAGCAAGCAATTCCCGTCTTGTGACACAATAGTTCCTTTCCGGCTTTGACAACGACTTGCTGAAGTACGCTATCACAATCTCTTGATCACCATTCCGTTGAGACAACACACCGTCAAGTCCTATATCACTTGCGTCTGTGTCAACTATGAATTCCTTGCCCGCATCAGGGTACCCCAAAATAGGCGTTTTGCACAGACGGTTCTTGAGCTCCTGGAATGCAATATCGCAACTTTCATCCCAGCAGAAATGTCGCTTCTCCTCGGTTAGCTTGTGCAGAGGTTTGGCTATATCTGCAAAGTTCTTCACAAATCGCCGATAATAAGAGCACAAACCCAAAAATGCTCTAACCTGCGTCTTGTCTTTTGGAACCGGCCACTCCTTGACAGCGGCAATTTTCTCTGGATCCGTGCGGATATCTTCTTCCGACACTACATACCCCAAAAAACTAACTTGCCGTTTGAATAGTGAGCACTTCTTCGGACTCAACTTGAGGTTGGCACTCTGGATCTTTGTGAGCACACGTTCCAGGTTTTGAAGGTGTTCCTCAAACGTACGGCCTACGATGATGATGTCATCCAAATAGACCAGACAGGCATCTCCAATTAGCCCGGTAAGTACAAGCTCCATCAACCTTTCAAACGTTGCTGGAGCATTGCACAATCCAAACGGCATGACTTTAAATTGCCACAGACCCTTTCCTGTGGAGAATGCAGTTTTCTCCTTGTCCTTGTATCTCAGTTTTTTTGTTATTTATTATATAGTTAAATTATATATTTTTTATAAATGATATCAATGGCTAACACCAAAATATTGCATTATGTTTTTGTTCAGGCGTTACTCTAAAAAAATACAAGAGCCTATTTATCTACAAAATTCGTAAATGCATGTAACTAAATGACGATACCAATAGTTATGGGATGTATCTAAGTGACCTTTATCCGAACGTTAAATGTAAATAGCGTTTATTGGTTTCGTTGCGAGAAGTTATCGAATCCGAGTCGATTTCGCTTTCCGAGACGATTGTGAATAGCCCGGCAGGAGAACTTTTGGTGATTGATTTGTTACAGTTATCACACTTGGTCAACATCGTAGGTAGTTTTGAAAAAGTAAGCGATACAAGCACAGGTGTAGCATTAATGACGATTCAACGACGACTGAAAAACTTGAAGATTGTTTATTTTTAAAAACCATTTTTTTGCTTTTGATTGTCTTAAATCTAAATAATTAGCTAATTAGTTAATAATTCTGTAATCGAAATAAATATTTTTGTTTAACAATTTTTATAGTTCTTCTGTCCGTGTTTATATGACTGTACTACTAAAGGCTGGACCGATTTTGATGTAATTTTGTGTGTGACTTAGTTAATTCGAGAATGGCTTTGATCCAATTGGACCCGGTAGGTGGCGTTGTTATAGAGACCCAGAAATCAACCGTGCGTAGCCGTGTGAAAGAAATATTCGTCGCCGTGTAAGAATATCTACTAGTAGTGAATTCACTTACATCTAGTTATAAATAACAAAATGTTATCCATATAACAAAATATTTTAAACCACGACGAAACCAGAGGGGTGTTATGAGTTTAATGTGTAACCGATTTAGATTGTTGTTTTATGGTTGGAAGGTGACTTCATTGAGAGCATTTTTAGCTATGATTCAAGAAAAGCATTCAGCCGTTTCAAATCATCAACTCTTTTTATTTTTGAAATTATTTTATTTTAGTTATTGTTAGTTGTGATGAAATGTTATACGTGGTAGTCACATTGCAGCTATATTAAGGTTGTAGTACGAATGGGTCTGCTCGACCGGAGCTTAGCAGCTTAATGCTTTTGTGTTTCGTATGCTGAGTGTAGAGAACCAGACATTCTTTTTACTGGAAACGAGGCATTTCATCTCAGTCCTCAGGGGTGACAACGTATCTGCATTTTGTTTCTAAATCGAGGCTAAACATGTCTTTGGGCCACAGGATCCAGTTACCATCAGGTGGACTGTGCTCGTTTGTCACCCTTCCTCTGTATCCAAAAAAAATATAATTCTTAAACAATTTTTTCTAGGTTGCACATCTAGAAAGGACCGACCACTATCTAACGGTGAAAGACAACCAAGTAGTACAGCTGCATCCCTCCACCTGCTTTGACCACAAGCCGGACTGGGTCATATACAACGAGTTTGTACTCACCACAAAGAATTACATCAGAACAGTTACTGATATTAAACGTAAGTAAAACTGTTGTTTAACAGTCTTCCTCTTCTTTTATATTATATCTCTATAGAATTCTGCCAATATCAAGTCAGTCATGGGGGTGACAAGTAAATATTTATTACATTAAGAGTTCTCAATTTTACGAGTGGGTTCACAAACTACGACAAAAGACGTCACATTTTTAAATACCATCACCAAAATTGATTAGTAATTTTACAGTTTAATATTATTAGTATGAATAAAATCACACAAAATATTTACAAAAGGGGACAACAAATACTGGAAATTTACAGGACGCGGGATGTAATTGGGCAGGATATCATAGAGAGAGTGAGAAAGAAGATTAGGACACTCAAAGAACAGATGATTTACGGATCCTTCGGCTAGCCCACATTCACAGTTTTATTTCTTTTTAGGTCTTTATTTTAAGAGAAAAATGGCTCCATCATTTAACCAATGATTCTCTGCCAAATGTCAAGGTTGAGAAAATATAAGTGATATTCTAAAAAAAATGTTGAGGTGTGCATTGGCTGCTAGTTTTAGGGAAGATTTTGTGCATTACTCTAAAAGTTCAGATACCTAAGTAGAAAATAAACACCACAAGATTAATTTCCCATTATATTGAAATACAAATTATAAAACAAAGTCGCTTCCCGCCCTCTGTACGCTTAGATCTTTTAAGCTACGCTTTTAAACGCCTGGACCGATTTTGATGAAATTTTGTGTGTGTGATTCACAATTGAACCCGGTAAGTGGCGTTTTTGTCGAGATCCAGAAATCAACCGTTGCCTAGTACAGGAATTAAACTTCTTCTATTCATACCTTATATTTTAAATATTAATTATCTATTAGTATCCATCCTCCATCATCCATGTAACATAGGAAATGGGTAGCAGCATCTTCCTAATAAAAGTTAAAGTTACAGCCTATATATGTTCCACTGCTGAGCACAGGCATTCTCTCATTTGTGAGAGTGTAGTACAAGGAAAGTGTCCGCCGCGCTGCCCCAATGCGTGTTGGCAAACTTCACGTGTATTTCTTTTTCTTATTTCTCAGACACGCAGGTTTCCTCACGATCTTGTCCTTCACCGCCGAGCACGTGATAAATCAGCACTTCAAATTGCAATTAAAAATTTCATTGTGGATCGAACCCGGGTTGCTCGCGTACTGTGGAACTTACAGCGAGCGTTAACCATCTGAGCTAGCATGACTAAAAATAATAATAACTACATAATAAAAAAAACCGCAGTTGCCAATCCGCCTGCCAACCGTGTCAACTATGGCAAATATGGACCCTAAAAGGCAATCTATGGGGAGGCCTATGTTCAGCAGTGGTCTTTGATAGGATGTAGTGATGATGAAGAATATTTTAAGTCTGCAATAGGGGCTACAATTATTTATTTCCTTTTTAGTATGTTACATGAGATATTAAATACTATGTACTACATAACTAAGATTTTAGTACAGAAAAAAAAGTAGGAGGTGCTCAATTCAACTGTATTTTTTATGTGAACCGATGATAATGATTCTTTTTTTATTTGAAAGCTGGTGCTTCTCATGTGGTCCCATGTAAATTTAATCGAGATCTGACCTTACTGGTTTTGAGTTATGATTAATATTGTGTATTTAATTGACTCCGACTAAATTGATGTTGTACTTATTTTAATTTTATTGAAATCAGTTGTACAAAGTTTTTAATTTTTTTTTTAATTTTTTTTAATTTTTTTTTTTATAGAGAGGGGGCAAACGAGCATGCGGCTCACCTGATGGTAAGTGACTATCGCCGCCCATGAACAACTGCAACACCAGGGAGGGTATTGCAGATGCGTTGCCGGCCTTTTAAAAAGGAGTACACTCTTTTCTTGAAGGTCCCTAAGTCGTATCGGTCCGGAAAAATCGCTGATGGTAATCGATTCCACAAGGAAGTCGTGCGAGGAAGAAAACATCTTCTAAATCGCACAGTGGTGGACCGCCAATCATCCAGATGGTGTGGATGGTATCGGGAGTTCTGCCGCGATGTGCGTTCGTGAAATTTGGCGGCTGGGATTAATCCGAACAATTCCTCAGAGCACTCCCCATGGTAGATGCGAAAGAAAATGCAAAGGGATGCAACATCTCTTCGCAGTGCCAATGAATCGAGCCGATCGGAAAGGGCTCGGTCGTCGACGATTCGAGCCGCTCTGCGCTGGATGCGGTCAAGTGGAAGGAGCTGGCACTGGGGAGCCCCTGCCCAGAGATGGGAATAGTATTTCATGTGGGGCCGAACCTGCGCCTTGTAAAGTTGCAGGCGGTGTGCCGGCATGAAATACTGTCCCGCTCTACTGAGCACGCCAAGCTTTTTAGAGGCCAATTTGGCCTTCTCTTCCAAGTGACCAAGAAACTGCACGTCACTCGATATGTCGACTCCGAGGATACCGATACTGGCTGAGGCAAGAAGGGGAGTGCCTTGAAACTGAGGAGATACGACAAAGGGGTTCTTTTAGCGGTAAACGCGCAAACTTGTGTCTTCTGAGGATTAAACTGGACTAGATTTAGTCGCCCCCAATCCGAGACTTTGTTCAGCAAAGACTCGACTTCAGACACAAGTTTGTTCCGGTACTCGGCGACGTTTTCCCGAGAAATATTGGCACGGCCGGTGTATAGAGCATCACCAGTGCTGTCATCCGCATAGCAATGAATGTTACCAGTTAGCAACATATCATTGATATGCAGAAGAAACAGCGTTGGTGATAGCACACAGCCTTGTGGAACACCAGCGTTAATAGGCTTGTAGTCAGAACATGCACCGTCTACAACGACATTGATGCTCCGATCTGCAAGGAAGCTGGTGATCCAATTGCACGATTTCTCGGGAAGCCCATAGGAAGGGAGCTTCGAAAGAAGCGCTTTGTGCCAAACCCGATCGAAGCCCTTCCAGTTTTTTTATGTCCAGACTAACGGCCAACGCCTCCCCCTTGGACTCTACTGCTTCCGCCCATCTATGGGTCAGGTAGACCAAAAGATCACCAGCTGATCGACCCCGACGAAAACCGTATTGGCGGTTACTAATCAGCTGGTGATCCTCAAAGTACCGGATGAGCTGGCAGTTAATAATGGATTCCATTATTTTGGAGAACAAGGAGGTGATCGCGATAGGCCTATAGTTGGACGGGTCTGAACGGTCGCCTTTTTTAGGGATCGGGTGGACAAAAGCTGTCTTCCATGAGTTCGGGACTACGCCTTGGGAGTAGGAGTACCGGAAAAGACGCGTTAAAACCGGTGCCAACTCCAGAGCACACGTCTTCAGCACAGTGGGAGGGATTCCATCGGGCCCACTCGACTTGCTGACGTCCAGGGAGAAGAGTGCTTTGCGAACCGAGCGCTGTGTAAACCGCATATCCGTCATGGAGCACTCACATCGCGGGATGGTCGGCGGTGTTTTCCCCCCGTCATCAATAGTCGAGTTGGACGCAAAAAAGGAGCCTAAAAGGTC